CCACCATTGTTTCTTTATGAATAAAGTGTAACCGATTCCACAAGCGAGGCCAATATAACTAGCTTATCATCATATCATGAGGCTTATAACCTTGGTCCCAATCACGAAATGTCTCCAGGAAAATAAGTAATGATTTCATCCACCATCGATATACTTTCCAACTAAAGATCTCCAATCCAGGTCTTTGTCCTGAGCTGTATGTGTGTGTGTGTATATATATATATATATATATATATATATATATATATATATCCAACTGCCAAGTGAAATAGCTCAGGGGCAATGCAAGTTCAGTCTGTTCAAGACTGCATTCATTTTCTTGCTCAAAATCTTGCTTCTGCGATTGTGGCTTCTTTCCTTGAGCAATGGAATTGCGGTTAATTTCTTCTGACTAGAAACCTGGGAGACATCCTAGGCATCTCCCTCATTCTTCACTTACACTGGGTCATCAAGTCTAGATTGAGCCTCTTAAGTATATCTCCATTCCCTCTTCCAGCATTTTAATTCAATCTTTTTAATTTCTCATATGACTTCCTAAGGTAGATTTATAAGCACATACATGGATTTATGACCTCTAATCTTTCTCATTTACAATTCTCTCCACATTGTACCCAGATGGATATTTAAAAAATAAATATCTGATCAAGGCAGTCTATCACTTGAAAACATTTAAATGGTTCCTCGATGCTTTAAGGATTAAATATCAACTCTTTAGTGCAACACATGTTTCAACATTTTATGACTTGGTTCCCCTCTCTGTCTCCAGCCTTGTATATCTCTTCTCACCTTAATCCACCCTCTCCCTTTTCAACCTCTTATTATACCTAATAATAGTTAACATCTATTGGGCACTCACCCTAAGCTAGGAACTATGCTAAAAGCTTTAAATCAGTATTTTCCAAAGTTCTCTGAAGATATGTATCATCTGAGGTGTTTGCTAAAAATCTAATTCCTGGTCCATATTCCAGACCCACTGAATCAAAATCATCAGGGAATGACCCTGGGAAGCTGCAATAAACACACACACACACCATCATGGTGACTCTTATTATTAGAGACATTTGGGAAAACAATGCTTTACATAAGCTTTTATTTAATCCTCATAAAAATGAATGAGATAAAAACTGTTGTTAGTCTCATTTATAGATAGAAATACTGAGGCTTAAGGGAAGAGGTAATTGGTCCAAAGACACATAGTTAACTGATTGTGATTATTATGATTTGAACTGAGGCATCCAATTCCAGAGTTTACACCACTGTTAAATTCTACCTTCTCACATGTGTATTAACACATGTGCTGTGTGCACTCTTAATTGTCTGTGCCTCTACTGCCCTTTGATTTGGGAAGTCATTTTCCCATCTTTGCCTAGAAAACTACTATCAATCCTTATTCAACTCAGCTGAAGCTTTCATTAACCTCCTCAGTCTGGTTGGTTGCTTTCCTATGAACTATTCTGTTATTCTGTTGACATAATGTATCATCATTTATATCCTTGTCTGTTCCCCTACCAGACTATAAGCAGGCACATCTCCAGTCTTTCTGTGTCCTTGGTCTAGCAGAGTGCCTGACACATACAAGTTATGTGATAAATATCTTCTGAATGAATAAAAGTGCAATAAGTCACTTTAGCTTGGCAAGTGCTTGGGGTTTAGATGCTGTGAGTCGATGGGGTTAGGTTCACTCCAGAAAATTACTTGTTTTGGTTATTGAATGCTGCCTCTTAGAACCAGGCCATGTCCCTTTGAACTCACTTGGATTTTCATTCTAGGAGTGTTCTTGGGAGAGATGGGACTGAGAAACCAACCCTTCTTTTTGAAGTTCAAAGAAATCAAATGTGTAATATACTTTGGTAGCTCTAATAGAAAAAGACAATGAAGGCCCCCAAAAGGGGCAGTGTTATAAGGGAAAAAAAGGACTGATCTGGCAATGTGAACCATGGATTTAGAAGGCTCAATGCCAGAGTTCAGTCAGAGGGGTGTGCTGACATGTGGTTGGGGCACTCTCGATCCAGATACCTAGTGCTATGGGTGCACTATACGTGCAAAGCATAAGTTAAAACATAGTTGGAAGTAGTGTTCTCACTTGGTCTTAAGGCAACAGGTAGAGCTCTGTAGTGGTGTCAGTAAGACTTTTAAGACAGGAGGCTTGGTGAGGGCCCAAAATGTATGGACTAAGGGTCAACATATTTCCAGGATTTCAGCAAATGGTAATACCCAGGCTGCCCTTTTCTGTAGGGGTATGAAAGGGACCGAGCTCACAGGAGTGGGATTTCTATGGCTGCCAGTGACATGGTCTTCCACTATTGGGGATGAGGCAGTGGCCATAGAGGAAGTCAAAACCATCAGGTGAAGCTGTCCAGAAGCTCACAGATACCATGTTCATTTAAGAGGGTTGCATGTGTCTTGGTTGTTCCTTTCCAAGTTATGAGTTGAAGGCAAGGAATGAGGGGAGCTGTCTCATGGACAGGTGTAAGCTATCCTGGCAGGTCTTGGAATCTTCATTTGTGGCACGAGAAACTTAGGCAGACTAGATTTTCTCTTAAGGTGCATGCTTGTGTGTGGTGTCATAACTTACATTTAAAGGAAATGTTGAAATCACCAGGTCAAGGAGGTGTGGAAATTTGGGTAATAGAATTTTCAGATGACATGATACTGTATATAGAAAACCCTAAAGCAGTGGTTCTCAACCTTCCTAATGCCGCGACCCTTTAATACAGTTCCTCATGCTGTGGTGACCCCCAATTTCATTGTTACAAATTGAACATAATTAAAGCATAGTGATTAATCACAAAAACAACATGTAATTATATATGTGTTTTCTGATGGTCTTAGGCAACCCCTGTGAAAGGGTTGTTTGACTCCCAAAGGGGTCATGACCCACAGATTGAGAACCGCTGCCCTAAAGACTCCATCAAAAAATTATTAGACTTAATAAATGAATTCAGCAATGTAGCAGGATACAAAATTAACGCCAAGAAGTCTATGGCATTTCTATACACCAATAGTGAACATACAGAAAGAGAGACAAAAAAAGCAATCCCATTTACCATTGCACCAAAAAAAAAAAAAAAAAAAATTAAGACACCTAGGAATAAACTTAACTAAGGAGGCAAAAGATCTATATGCGGAATACTACAGGACACTGAAAAAAGAGACAGAGGAAGACATAAACAGATGGAAGCACATACCGTGTTCATGGATTGGTAGAATCAACATCACCAAAATGTCCATACTACCTAAAGCAATCTATAGATTCAATGCACTCCCCATTAGAATACCAACGGCATATTTCACAGACCTAGAATGAACTCTCCAAAAATTCATCTGGAATAAAAAAAGACCCTGAATAACTGCAGCAATCCTGAGAAAGAAGAACAAAGTAGGTGGGATCTCAATACTAGATATCAAGCTGTATTACAAAGCCACTGTTCTCAAAACAGCCTGGTACTGGCACAAGAACAGACATATAGATCAATGGAATAGAACAGATAACCCAGAAATCGACCAAAACCACTATGCTCAATTAATATTCGACAAAGGAGGTATAAACATACAATGGACTCAAGACTGTCTCTTCAATAAATGGTGTTGGGAAAATTGGATAGATACATGCAAAAAACAAAAAAAAACAAAAAGAAAATAGACCACCAATTTATACCACACACAAAAGTAAACTCAAAATGGATTAAAGGACTTAAATAAGAAAGAAAACCATAAAAATACTAGAGGAATCCACAGGCAGCAAAATCTCAGACATATGCTGAAGCAATTTCTTCACTGATATTGCTCCTAGGGCAATGAAAACTAAAGAGAAAACAAACAAATGGGACTACATCAAAATAAAACCATCAACACAGCAAAAGAAACCATCAACAAAACAAGAAAACCCACTGTATGGGAGAACATATTTGCCAATGTTATTACTGATAAGGGTTTAGTCTCCAACATTTACAGGGAACTCATACAATTTAACAAAAGGAAGATAAACAACCCAATCAAAAAATGGGCAAAGGACCTAAATAGATACCTTTTGAAAGAAGACAGAAGGAAGGCCAAGAGACATATGAAAACATGCTCAAAGTCACTAATCATCCAATAGATGCAAATCAAAATGACAATGCTGTATCATCTCACACCTGTCAGAATGGCTATCATCAACAAATCAACAAATGACAAGTGCAGGAGAGGATGCAGAGAAAAAGGAACACTCATGCACTGCTGGTGGGAATGCAGACTGGTGCAGCCACTATGGAAGACAGTATGGGGTTTTCTCAAAAAGTTAAAAATGGAACTCCCATTTGACCCAGTGATCCCACTTCTAGGAATATATCCCAAGAAACTAGAAATACCAATCAGAATGGATATATGCACCCCTATGTTCATAGCAGCACAATTCACCATAGCTAAGATGTGGAAACAGCCCAATTGCCCATCAGCAGAAAAGTGGATTAAAAAACTGTGGTACATCTACATAATGGAATACTACGCTGTGGTAAAAAAGAAGGAATTTTACCATTTGCAACAGCATGGATGGAACTGGAGAGCATTATGCTAAGTGAAATAAGCCAGTCAGAGAAAGATAAATATCACATGATCTCACTCATTTATAGAATATAATGAACAACATAAACTGATGATCACAAACAGATCCAGAGACAGGGAAGCATCATCAGATCGTCAAACCTCAGAGGGAAGGTAGGGGAGGGTGGGGGTAAAAGGGAGAGATCAACCAAAGGACTTGTATGCATACATATAAACCTAACCAATGGACACAGACAACAGGGGGTGAGGGCATGAGGGGGGGGGGGTAGGGGGGTAATGGGGGAAAAAGAACACATATGTAATACCTTAATCAATAAAGAAATTAAAAAAAGAGTGAATAGAACAAACCTTTGAAAATATGAACCTTTTCTCAAGCATGGTAAAGACAGTCATATGCAGTCACGAAAAAATGAGATCCTATAGGCAATAGTACAAAACCACATTTTATACGAGACAAGTTTTATTTGAAACACAAGCTTTATTTGAAACAAAGGCTTTCTTTAAAAAAGGCATTATTTGAAGAAAGGTTTTATTTGGTACAACACTATTTGTAGGCATTCTGGAGACTCTCATTTATGGGCAAAAGAATTTAGATCATACATGCACTACAGCAGAAGGGATGCTCTGTTTGGAAAAGAGAGAACACGGCTGCAAACATCTAAAGAGTTGGCATTGGAGATGATTACAAAGAAAACTCTCGTGAGAAAGGTGACATGTTCAATGCTAAAGAAATTAATATGTAAATGACATGGATCGTGGTCCCCGAAGACAAGTATCCTTAGCATATCTTACCAGATACACTCATTGGAATCTAACTGAAATTACAGGCAGGAGATTCAGTTTCTATTCTGGACACTCCGCCTTAAGATGCGAAGCCTTGACATGACCACATCCCAGTCGGCGTAAGCTCCTTCTAGATGGCGGGATATCTCAGTCCCAGCTTCGTAGCTACTGCGGCCATGCAGTAAGCGCCAGTTATCAAAAGTAATCACATCACCTAGACAAAAGATTTTCCAATATAAATAATCATGTCTTTAATGTTTGCAGAGCTAGAAAATGAAAAATATCCTTGCTGCTTAGTTCACATCAAGAAACAGTATGTTTACTTCTTTACATAAAACCTATGCATTCACTTTTCACCCAAATCAGGCCACGGGATGCAAATAGCTTTAGACATTTTGACATTTAAACTACACAGCCTGGCCGGCTCCTTGTGGGCACTTACATTGTTTTTACTTAAAGTGTTATCTTTGTGTAAAATGTTTGAGTTGTTCTTCCTGATTGTTATTTATCTCTTACTTAGAAATGTTTGTTTCCAGTATAATAGCATCAAATAATTATAAAGATAATGACCTTCTTGGTTTGTCTTCTATGTTTCTGGTATTTTATATACATTATTTCTAAGCCTTGTAAAAATCCTAAAAAAGAGATTATTATCTCATCTTTTCATACACGAGAAGACTAGGGCTCCAAGAAGTTGAGGGATTTGCCTGAAGCTACGGTGCCATTAAATGGGGAAGCTTGGATTCCAGCTCTTATTTATTTTGTGTTTTTCTCCCATGGTATTTCCATTTTACGTTACTGCTCTAAAAATTCAGCGTGGTGTGACTCCATAGCAGTGGGTTTATGAAGATTCCTAGTATTGCTTTATTATACCACGATCAATTCAAAAAATAATCACAAGTGAAAAAAGTCTTCTACTTGGTCAAATCAGTGCCAGAGAGTAATTATGCTTTTTATTTGAAACCTTGAGTTTGATGTTGTTTTACTGAGTCAAGATGGTCCAGGAAAAACACAATGCTTTCTGCACCTTTATTTTTTTTTAAAGATTTTTTTTTTAATTGAGAGAGGAAGGGAGAGGGATATAGAGATGGAAACATCATCCATCAGCTTCCTCCTGCATGCCCATTACTGGAGACGGAGCCCACAACCTGGGCATGTGCCCTGACAGAGAACTAAACCAGTGATCTCTTTGTTCAAAGGTCCACGCTCAACCACTGAGCAACACCAGCCCAGAAAAATAAAGCAGTTCTTGAAGTTTTCCAGCTACTTGAAATAAAGGAGCAGAGCAGGCTGGTGTGGCTCATTGGTTGAGCATTGACCCATGAATCAAGAGGTCACTGGTTTGATTCTCAGGGCACATGCCAGGTTGTGGGCTCAATCCCCAATAGGGGGTGTGCAGGAAGCAGCTGATCAATGATTCTCTGTCATTGATGTTTCTATCTCTCTCTCCCTCTCCCTCTCCCTCTCCCTTCCTCTCTGAAATAAATAAAAAAATATAGTTTTTAAAAAGAATTGCTTTATTTCTGTTAACACTACATCTACCAGATCAGATAAGTTTAATGTGTAAACATTACTCCTATAGTTTAGAGTGAGAATCATGAGGGTAATTTGATGTCTACCAGGATAGAAGAATTAAGTACAAGCTTCAGTTTGTATTGATTGGCTATCAGGGTAGAAAATATGTTATCAGTCTTGACATCAGACATGAGATTTCCTTAGGTCTATAGCTCATCTTTCAGGTATTTATTCTTTAGGTTGAAATTATTAATTTCTTTCTGTGTTTAAGAAATACATAGGAGCTTATTAAAAATGAATATTTTAAAGCCTGGGGAGTCAATAGAGTAGAAATGGGGGCTGGGAGTCTGCTCTTTAAGCAAGCTGGCTGCTCCCCAAGATTCTACTGTAAGTGTTCCACATTCGGTGCTTGAGCAAAACAGCTCTCTACTGCTCTAAATGGTGAAGGTTGAAGGAAATACGTCCTTTCAGTTGTTTGAGAAAACGTGTTCACTGACCTGGATTCATCTTAAAAGTGAACTTGGATTCTTTACAGTTCATGAGGTCAACAAACTCCTTCAGAGCAGCATAAAAGGGCTGAACTTTTTCAACAGGCACATCGAATATCGTGTCTCTCGTTGCATTATTGAAGTTGATCCGAATCACTTGACCTTTATCATCTAATCTGTTTTTTTGAAAGAGAAAAAGTTAAACATATAAGTTACAAAGTATCGATTTACATTTATAAGGATCAATTTGTCTTGGGAGATGTTTCTAAAATACAGTACTAAAGAATCCAAACACATGTACAGAAAAAGTTAATGCTATCTGTGGTACAATGTATTTATTTCTTTTTTCATTTAGAGAGTATTTTTTTAAAGCTTACCCCCTAAGTGCCAGAATGATTCAAATTAATTTAAAATAAACATTACTGAAGACTATATTATAAAGTTTTTATGTTTGGAGAAACAAATTCATTCTTCATTCTTTAAAATAGTAGCTTTTACATTACTAAAGTATTTTTATGTTATACTTCAGAAATTGGGCTTTTAAGTCTGATTTTATTGGAATATTATTGGAAAGAAAGACCTGTTTTTTAAAAGTGTGAAATATACTTTTCTAACTCAATCCCTAGTTTACAGATGAGGAAACTGAGGGACAGAGAAAAGAAGAGACTAGCCTAAGGTAGATTCTTTGAATCTTTCTACCTGTGGCACACTTTGTGCCATCCTCCATGTTACTGACAAGGATGCCATGACTTTTAAACTTCTTTGGGGTTTTTTGTCTTAGCCACTCTGGTGATCAGTTATTTTTTAAAATATATTTTTACTGATTTCAGAGAGGAATGGAGAGGGAGAGAGAGATAGAAACATCAATGATGAGAGAGAATAATTGATCGGCTGCCTCCTGCATGCCCCACACTGGGAATAGAGACCACAACCCAGGCATGTGCCCTGACTGGGAATTGAACCATGACCTCTTGGTTCATAGGTGGATGCTCAACCACTGAGCCATGCCAGCTGGGCAGTTCTTTTTTTCACTAATACCATAATTCCTTGATGGGAATGGTTATGGTAATTATGATCGCTCTCTTTTACAGTAAAAGGAACTTTGTGATTCATTAATCAAATGCAATAAGAATTGTGTGTCTCATGGTATATTGTGCTAAGCTTTAATTTCCAAGAGTTCACATACATAAGCAAAAATAATCAGTTTCTCTCTCTCTCTCTCTCTCTCTCTCTCTCTCTCTCTCTCTCTCTCTCTCCCTCCCTCCTCTCTCTGTAACACAGTCTCTGTCTCCTTTCACCTAGTATTTACTCTCTATCTGAGAAAACAAGACACATTTATTATTTGACATTGTCTGCAATGACATGAGAGGAAATAGAAAGCAAATTAGTATAAGGTCTATAGAAGACATTGTTTTTGTTGATTGAAAAATGTTAGAGGAGATGAATAGCCAGCATCTTGAAAAGCTGCCTATGACCTTATAACATAAAAAATACTTTAGTATGTAAAAGCTTTGTAAGAAGGAAATCATGTGTGCAATAACAGAATAAAAGGAAGGTCCCAATGCAGGGTTACATGCTAAGGAAAGGTAAAAATCTCCCCCAAATGAGGAATGACTGGCTATATATTAACTATACAGGGACACGAATTTAAATATAAACTAGCACCATGGTAACTAAAAACTAGCAAGAGATCATCAGTAATGCCAACAACAGAACACAATGAAAGGACTATAGCCTCACCTCTACAATCTGCTGGTGCTGTGAGTCCCCCTCACTACTTACAGTATTATGTCTCATTGAGAGATAATGATACTTGATGGGACTTCTTGAATTTGTTGAGGAAATGGCACTATGGTGTTGTCCACTACATCACATTTTATGAGGATGGGCAGTAAAAATTTATTTCAGATTAGAAGCATCTTGAATCTTGCAAATTAAATATGTTCCCTCCTTTCTTTGGTCTCTAGAAACTTAGAGCTGAAATCTATTACCAGTATACTTGTATGTGTTGAACTTTATGGACATTCTAGCTAGCTAAAATTTACTCTGCCCTTTCTGAGTCAGAGGGTGCATTCATCAATTATCTCTATTCATTCCTACTTCAATGGTATGTGGTAGGTATTAAATTACTCCCTTTTTACTGGCTCTCTTCTTACCATGGGTAGCCAGCATAAGTCACTTGACCAAAATTGTAAAACTAGGGAAGGGGTTTTATTTATGTGATTGAATTTGAAACCACTAAAAAGCATTGCTATAGCGTAATCTCATTATTATTATTTTTTGTCCAAGTTTCTTTGTTTATTTTTTCTTGTACTGTACCTAACTCTGTCAACAGCCTCCAAGTCTTTTTGTACTAGATAGAGCATAAACATCTCAAAAGAATTATAGCACTTAAAAACATAGAAGATGAAATGAACCCAAATGCAGAGATGACCAAGGCCCTTGATTAACTAAAAACCCTCATTGTTTCATCTCCTATTGTTAAAAATACATTTTTACGCGAGTTAATGTTAGCCATTTGATATTCTCTAGGGATACTCTGAGACCTTGAAAATGGTCAAATTTTGGAATTTTACTACCAAAAATTACAAAGCCAAATTATGATTCAGATGGTGAACATTCAGGTAATTCCACTCAATAGCTAAGTTTTTGGCCTCTCTTCTCTAGCCTTGCAGAATTGGCAATCATATTGGGCCACAACAAAATTAACATTTATCATGGGTCCCCCACTCCCAGTGGATCCCCTCTGATAAGTCTAGTACCCACCTGACAGCATACATAGTTATTACAGTATTATTGACTATATTACCTGAGCAATACTTCACATCCCAATGACTACTTTGTAACTACTTAATCTCTTTACTTTTTCAACCATCCTCCTCAGCCCCGCCCATCAACAGCTAGTAATTTATTATTTGTATCTATGAGTCTGTTTCTGCTTTGTTTGTTTGTTTGTTTATTTCAGTGGTTCTCAACCATGGCTGCACATTAGAATCACCTGGGAATCTTTTTAAAATCCTGATTTCTGGGCCTCAGAATTTCTAGAGAATGAGGCCCAGAAATCAGGATTTTAAAAAGATTCCCAGGTGATTCTAATGTGCAGTCAAGGTTGAGAACACTGGTTTATTTTTTTCTGCAGATGCCACATATAAGTGAAATCATATAGTATTAGTCATTTTCTGTCTCTCATAGGTTTTTAAGGTAACTTTTGAACAGTTAAAACTGTCATGATAAAACTGGTAATCTAAGAGTTAGTTCTTCTCTTTCCCATCTCAATGACTGACCTCTCAGAGAATGTTATCTTGATCTAGAGTTTATTTTTGACCTCTGTTTTTATCTCACATCCTTCATCTACTATGTCAAAAAAATATGCTGTTTTGACTATAAAATATGTCCCCAAATGAGTGCGTCTCCACACTTCCACCATCACCACTTGGACCACTCATGTTTAAGGCACCCTCTCCTCTAACTTGGTCTTCCTGCACCAATCCTTGCTTTTCTACACTCCATTCAACCCAGCAGCCAGGATGATGGGTTTAAAATGTACATAAGTTTGTATAAATGCAAATGTCTCTCTTTTGATCAAAATCTTGCAGCAGCTCCTATTTCATTAACAGTGAAAGCCAATGACTTCCAATGGCTAGCAAGGCTCTTCATAGACTTCCCCCCATTTGACCTCCTCTCTTAATACTCAGCTCTACCCTGGCCCTTGGCTTGATTGATTGCAGCAGACATGCTCCTAGGCCTTCTCAAGTCCTTTGCTCTAGCTGTTTCAGGAAATGCTTACCTCTGAGCAATCTTCCTCATTGCTTTAAGTTTTTACTCAAGTATCACCTACTTAGTAAATCTTTCCTCACCACATTATTTAATCATGCAAGTTCTCTCCTCTCTAAGTATTTGGTCTTACAGATTCTCCTTATCCTGCCCTACTTTTCCTTTTTTCTTGAGTACGTAAAAATGTTTTCACATTCATTGTAATTTATTCATTTGTTTTAAAATTTCTAATTCTCCCATTCTCTGTTAGACTGTAAGCAGGGATCTTTGTTTTGTTCACTGATGTATGCCAAGCACCATGAAGCGTGGCTGGCCTCCATAAATATTTGTTGAATGAATAAATGAAGGCTCTATTGTGTATATCAGACAAGTGAGTTAGTACACTGGGAATCTGCTTATTTATTAAATGAGTTTACTTTCATAGTATCTGGCTATGTCTCCTGAAAGAAGAATATAAACTCAATTCTAAAATTGGGAACACCCCCAAATCCACCAATGGGATCTTATTAAATAAACCATATCCTAGAAACACACTGTAAAATAATTTTCAAATAGAAGAATACATTTGTGGCCTTTGTAGATACTTAAAAAATTATGATCAGATAATGTCCGATGAAAAGAGAACACACAACGTTCCATGTAGGGAACATGTGATTTTTGTTGGAATCTATTTGGGAAGACATCCCGTTTCATTCTCCATCCATGTGGTTCAGATGAGGCTGTCTTTGCCCCGGGAATGAACATGTGACCTAGGAATGGTTAATAAGAATTGTCTGACTTTCTGTCTATGGAGATTGCTTCAAGGATACACTTGGACACAAATTGGGCAGTGAGTCATTTAGCTTTGTTGTGGCTATTGGGAAATAAACACTTTCTCTGTGCTGTGTTTACCAGCTCTCAGGATAATGAAAACTTGGAACTTCCATTGATTATCTATGAAAATGAAGCCAAAACAGAGGATGGCAAAGCTAAGAGGTGAAGAAAAAAGAGATCAATTTCAGATAACACTGTTTTAACTCCTGGATCTGTCTCATCATTAGATTCTTCTACTTCTGGCTGAAAGTGTTCTGACTAGCACAATCATACTGATCATAACTAGGTAGAACTTATGTTTTAAAAGCTAAGTGAAAATTAAGTGTATATGAAGTCTTAGTAATGTCTCATATGAAATTTGATAAATTTTTATTGTGGAAAAATTCTTTTTACTGTAATAAAAAATAGAGCTCTGGCATTAACTGAAGCTTTCTGTGTTTTAGCTTTAGGTTAATGAAGCTTTTGCTATCAGCTGTTGTATTGCTGTGAGAAATTTTTAAATAACTCTTACTCTATAATTTTGTGTTTGGATTGCACAGAGAAATCGCAGTAATCCACTCCAATGTCTGTGAAGTCCACGAAGGTCGAGGACAAAATCTGGAATGCTCGAGGATTTTTTTCCTTGAGCTTTCGGCATATGTTAAATCCATCTACAATTTCTGTATCACCTCCGGTGACTGTTTGTTTTATGCAGTGCAGAAGCTGAACCTATAAAAAGAAATAGAGAAATAGGTTTTTAAATGACACGTACTCACATATTTTTTACACTGCATTAAAGAAAGCTGCAGGAAGATATGGATGCACTAAAATCAACAAACCTTGTTTTATCTGTCTTTGGGTCATCAAAGGGGTTGGGGAGAAAAAGTTGCTCGCCATCAATACTTTATAGTTCAAAAATTGTTGCAGTTGAAGACATGGACATGGATATACTAATGTTCATTAGCAAACAAAAGGCACAGATAAAAATAGGGGCGGGGAGCTAGCACTTTATGTTGGAGTATTTATGCACCTCCCCTTGGCCTTCCAAAGGAGGTGGGACCTAATCTGGGTCAAGGAGGGTGGATATGATTTTGAATACGTAGAATAGAATGGAGAGAGCAAATCAGGTGGCAGCAATGATGGGTATGCAAAAATGCACACTTCCCTGGGCATCAAAAAGTTTGGCTGCAGTAGAGGATCACTCCTGGGAATGGTAGATGCAGTTGGAAAGTCAATTTGGAACCTCATCATGGAGAGTCTTGAATATCAGATGAAGGGTATTGGACTTTGTTTTGTGCTCAGAGGAGAGTTGTTAAAGGCTTTTGAATATGGAAGTAAAGACCGAATTAAACAATATCAGTCTAGTGGTGATATATGGGATAAATTATTTAAGGTGGGAACTAATGAGAGTGTTATGTGATAGTTCATATGGATGGATAAGAAGCTAATGATGTCCCTAGCTGGTTTGGCTCAGTGGATAGAGCATTGGCCTACAGACTGAAGGGTCCTAGGTTTGATTCCGATCAAGGGCACATGCCCAGGTTGCAGGCTCGATCCCTAGAAGGAGGTATGCAGGAGGCAGCCAATCAATGATTCTCTCTCATCATTGATGTTTCTATCTCTCTCGCCCTCTTTCTTCCTCTCTGAAATCAATAAAAATATTTTAAAAAGAAGCTAATGATGAGGGATATGAGGATGAATAAACCTAAGAAACATTGAGAATGAGAAACCAAAAGGAGAGTATTAGTTATTTTTATTAAGACTTAGAAGGAAACGTTAAACATTATTTCATTTTGTAAAGCAAAACATGGTAAAATTTTAAAAATACTTTCTTTTATTAAGCAGAGTTTGTTTTCTTTGGTTATGTGACTCCTTTTGGTAAGTCAGCATGGGTGGATTATTTTTAATAACTAAATTTAGACCCTGACTTTCTGCTTAGAGAGACTAACACCATTCAGCTGTGAAAACTTTATTCTTACAGAGTGGAATAAAAATAAAAATCAATGTCTGGCAGTTCTTATTGAAAGGAAGAGGCAAATATGATCAAATACCCAGACTAGGGAATAATTATAAGTGGGGGAAATATCGATTTAGCTTGCTTATCTCCATAGATTGTCTAGAACAATGCCATCCATTTGAACTTCCTGTAATGATGGAAATGTAGTGACTAGTCCTACATGGCTACTGTGCACTTGAAATGTGGTTAGTATGACCAAGGAGCTGAATTTTAGATTTTATTTAATCATAACCAATTTAAATTAAAATTTTAAAAGTCATTTGTGGCTCATGACTACTGTAGGAAATAGTGCAAGTCTAGACCACAATCCTCCACCCTCCCAAAACTGCATACATTTTCTCAATGTTTTAAATCTTATGCATACTTGTTCTCAAACTATGATTGTATGATTTACATTTATTAAGTCCTCACTCCTGTCCTTAGAATTTTATACTTTCATCTTCATTTTATAGGTGAAGAAGCTGAGACCTAGAGTTGAAAAATTCAACCAGCTAGTAAAACTCAGCTAATCCATGGTAACACTGCTATTCAAACTTTGGTCTATTTGCCTCAAAATCCTCATACAGCAACTTCCTTTCCTATAAAGAGAGAAACCTCTTTATAGCACTCCTAATAATTCAGTATTGTGTGGTTTGTGTCTCTGTGGTTTGTAAATGTAAACTTCCATCTTAGATTGATGATGCCTTATTTTCTGATGTTAGGAGAAAACTGGTCTAAATTAATAATAATTCAGTCCTTAAGTTGATGCTGTTTTCTTTTAAACTAAAAAAACAAACACACATGTGCCAAAGCTGGCCAAGTCATTGTAGAAAACTATCTCATCACCAGGCCACTGAGGGGTGAAACAGCATGATTAAAAATAAGATAAAATGAAAATCTCCACTTCAAATATACTAAACTCCAAGAAGGCAAAACAATAGCATAACTTTGTCTCTGGGAGAATAAAAATGTTCCTTAAATCCTTTTAGATTTTGCCATAATGAAGTCATAGAATATTTCAAATATAAATCTTTAAAAAAGGTCAACTGATGCCTTTTACATATGGCAAGGCCAAGTAATAATCTTCTCTTCTATGTTTACATTTTATTGCAATCTTATAAAAGAAAAAAGGTGATGGAGCCAGATGACACTTTCACTGCTAATTCAAGAGGAAAATATATGTGTGATGTGTATAAAACCCAATTTTATTTCATGTAAGTCATACAGAACCAAAAATATTTTCTTTCTAAATGTTGCTTTATGGCAGCATGTGACTTCTGGCCCAGACAGAGAAGTTGGTGAAGCAACATCTGTGTTTCATTAGTGTCGTGTCTCCTTGTCCCTGCCCCATGTGATCCAAATTGATCAAACGGAACTCTCAACAGGTAACTAATCCATATCATTTCATCTGTACTGGAAGAACATAGACTAATTCTGTTTGTTATGAAAACATTGGAACTTAGGGACAAAACCCCCTCAATAATTCAAAATGGAAACTTGAACAGTACACAAACAGTGTCTACATTTTAATGATTCCTCTGCTAGAATTTAGACATTTCAGGAATCATCTTTTATTTTAAAAATCTCCCATTGGGTCATTACTTTTAGATGTTTCATTTGCTGATGGGAGACAGGCACCCTTTTGTGGCATTTCTTTACCTCTTTATAGCATATCTGTTACATCTCTATTGCAGGAAAGGTGCTGGGTTAAGTCTTAAGATATAGAGAAGTCTAAAATTAAGTTCCATATTTAAAGAGTTTGTAATATATGATAATGTGTATAAATAATCATCACATTATATCAATTATGGAAATTTGAAAGTCCGATTCAAGACCCATATTGTGCAGTGAAAATTGGAGGCCCAAGTTCAAGTTCCCTATTCATCAGATGTTACCCTGTGAAAGTATTTAGCCTTGCTATGCATCATTTCCTCATTTGACATAAAAAAGACATGATCTATTCTGTCTACCTTAAAGGGATGTAGCAGATAAAGTGGTATAAGTATAAATACTTTGAAGGGGTATAAAATGCTGTGAAAATGTCAAGCATTATACTTCAGGAATATTTATGAAGTCATTTAGTCACTTTTTCATAGGCTTCCAATTTTAACTCAGAAACAAAACCTAAACTCATAAAAACAAACAAACAAACAAACAAACAAACAAAAAAACAGCAGATAATTTAACAATTCAAATAAAAGCTTTCTAGTTTGATTTTTAAAACTTTATTCCATCTAACTTCTCCAACCTATCTTGAGCAGATGAATGGGGCTGATTAGTTTGGCTTTTAACCCCAAGGCTTTTAGAAAATTTCTGGACCACAGTTAGAACAAATCACATCGTGTGTCTCTTCCTGACTCCAAACTCCATTTGAAAAGGTGACTAGAATGGTCATTTTAGTATCATTTAGTTCAAAAAAATCATGTGGTATCAACAAAATAATTTAAAATATGAAGTTATATTCTAGACTAGCTTAGCTAACACAGGCAAGGACAATGGGTAACAAGAAGGGCACAGAGAAAATGTGTTCAGTCAACGTGTTAAAAAAAAACACAGATGCTGAAACCGGTTTGGCTCAGTGGATAGAGTGTCGGCTTGCGGACTGAAGGGTCCCAGGTTCGATTCCGGTCAAGGACATGTACCTGGGTTGCGGGCACATCCCCATTAGGAGATGTGCAGGAGGCAGCTGATCGATGTTTCTCTCTCATCGATGTTTCTAACTATCTCCCTTCCTCTCTGTAAAAAATCAATAAAATATATTTAAAAAAAAACCCAGACTAATTTTGATTTTTATCCATTTTACCTTCATTAACTAGATAATTAACCCAAATTTCCACTTCCATTTACCCTTGATGATATGGATTTCTGTGTAATATTTCATTGTCCTATTTAACTCTAAAAATAGAAACAAGCCCAACTGGTGTGGCTCTGTGGTTGAGCAACGACCTAGGAACCAAGAGGTCATGGTTCAATTCCCGGTCAGGACTTATGTCTGGGTTGTGGGCTAGCTCCCCAGCGTGGGGTGTGCAGGTGGCAGCTGACCAATGATTCTCTCTCATCGTTGATGTTTCTATTTCTCTCTCCTCTCTGAAATCAGTAAAAATATATTAAAAAAGTAGAAACAAAATGTCGTTTTAAAGGTAGTTTCCTGACCATATATTTTTTGGTTTAGAAAAATGATGCTTTTGCAAAAATGTAGCTGGTTTACTAAAATGACAGTTTTGCAATAACATAGTGGAAGAGGATCCTAGACGTTCTCCCGAGAGATTTGTGGCTCCACGCTGAACATCCTCCTTGACGAGGAATCTGATAGATGGGAGAGTAGATGGTTTCCCAAACTAGCCAGGGTTGCTCTGCTCCATGCATTCACACCCCCGTTGTAGTCTGTCTTTGCAGCTTCTCCCATAAAAGGTGAACTCTGCTTCCTCACTTCTTGAATCTGGGCTGAACTTATGATTTACTTTGACCAAAAAGCATAGCAGAAGTGACATAATGTTGGTTACTAGCCTAAATCTTGAGAGGCTTTGGCTTTCTCTCTGGAAACTCTGCCAGCTGCCATGTGCATAAGCCTGAACTAGCCAGCTGGAGGACGATATGATAGAGCAAGTGGGACAGGGACAAGCCATCTCAACCGTCACCTCGGTCAACCAGCCCCAGCCGACTCAGCAGCAGCAGCAGAACTGCCCAGATGAACGCAGCCCAAACTGTACAAACATGACCTAAGTAAGTAAGTGGCTGTTCTTTTAAACCACAAAGTTAGGGAGATGGTTTTGTTTGTTTGTTTGTTTGTTTGTGTTGTAATAGCTAATTAATATGAATGATGGTCATATGACTTTGTGGGGAAAAATCTACATTGTGTTCCCTTGTTTTATTTTTTCTTTTAACTCTCTTGCGATTGGTAAATGTGCAAAAAGACCTCAAGATGTACTGCTGTGGTAAAATGTCTTAGCAAAGCCAAAAGTGCCACTAGTTACAGGAACAAACAAAACATGTTAAGAAATATACATGAGAATCTTTTATCCCTTGGGAATGGGAAGCTATTCAGGATTTTGGTACAGAGATATTATGAGTTTGGATTGTATTTGGAGAAAGCATAGGACAAGTTAGCTATATAATATGATTGTCTAGGCTCCAAATAGAGGATATTGGTCCTTGGCCTGCCCTGTGGACTGTGGCAAGGCTCACCTTACCCCAGGTGGGTGATGGAGCGCTGGGTAATCAGTGTGAAAGCTGAGCTTCCCAGTTGTGTAAGCCACATTGTTTGCGTCGATTTTGTCTTGCACCTGCCAAGTATGTCTGTAAAATACAAGAAACATATGTTTAAACAGGCTGTAACTGAGCCAGAGGAAATGTGTTAAAATGAACTTGAGACATGGGGGGAATGGAAACTTTTCATTTTATGAAATAATTCCCATCATGATGATGAGCCAAGGAAGATGAGTCTGACCTTTCTTTCTCTAAAGTAACCATTTCTGAATTAGCATCTCCTCACTGCTCTTCTCCTCTCCAAAATAGAGTAAATTTGTCTATTCGACAGAGTTTATCAAGAGGTGTATGTGGAATTTAGGTTGTTTTTAATAGCTTCATGCTTTTCTAGAAATGATTTATTGAGGTTAAATTGACACAACATAAGCCATTTTAAAATGCATAATTCAGTGGCATGTTATACCTTTATAATGTTGGTAACTACCACCTCTTTCTATCTGGTTTCAAAAACATTGCCATCACTCTAAACTCAAACCTCTTACCCATTAGAAGTTTCTTTCCATTCTACAGTTATAGTTCAACATTGTCCCCTCTCCTCTGTGTGTCTGGAAAATGCAGAGGTTTGGACACTCTATTTTCTCTCTTTGGCAAAATTATAGAAGACAGAATATCTAGGTGTCTTTCTGTTTGTAAATGTTTTTTCACTTTTAACTTTTCTCTCAACTACTATTTGGTTTCCTCATATAATAGCTTCTATAGGGATGATGAGAAAAATGCTTGATTCTTTCTTTTTTATTTAACACTAGAGGCCTGGTGCATGGATTCATGCCCTGGTGGGATCCCTCAGCTTGGCCTGTGCCCTCTCACAATCCAGGACACCTTGGGGGATGTTGGACTGCCGGTTTCGGCCCGATTCCCTGGCCTGCGGGGATCGGGCCGAAACCAGCAGTCCGACATTTCCTGAGGGATGTAGTAGTGCACAAAGTGGCAGGTGGCCAGGGAGGAGCCCGAGCCCGGGCTGGGTGCCATGCTGTTCCTGCTCATCCTGGCCCCAGTGTGCCTGCCTCCACTGCAGGTAGCACTGCTGCGGAGGCGGGAGAGGCTCGTGCTGCTGCAGCTGCACTCACCCGCCATGAGCCAGGTTTCTGGCGCCCATCGGTCAGCTGAGCAGCGCTCCCGCTGTGGGAGCATACTGACCACCAGGGGTCAGCTTCTGCATTGAGCATCTGCCCCCTGGTGGTCAGTGCGCATCATAGCTACTGGTCAACTGATTGTTCGGTCGTTTGGTCACTTAGGCTTTTATATATATAGATATTGCAATGTAATGAATTAGCTTTTTTACCACTATAAGGTGAATGATTAATTTAAAAAAAATAACATTTATTGATAAAAATGTATTAAAACTAGACAGAGATAATGGTTTCACAACATTGTCATTTTACTAAATGACAGAATTGTATGCTTTAAAATGGTTAAATTTATGCTATGTAAAGTTTACTTTCATTGCCAAAAAATAGCTTGCCTTAAAAGTTAAAAGAAGTTAGCAGAACTAGTAATGACTTGCAACCCTGTGACAAGGAAAGAAACCATTTTTCAGACTTTGTAAGGCTTTTCAGAAGATTAAGACAATGGGTAATTGGAAAGAAACAGTATTCCTAAATGAACCCAAGTGTAGTTTGAAAAAAAAGTCACTATACCTGCACATCATTTTATTGCTGTTACAATGTATATTAACTATGTTCACATTTATGAAATCATTTTTCAAGAAATGTATATTGAGCACATATTCTATTCGAGACATTGCTTTTCAATAGAGCTAGAGCAGGGAACAAAAAAGTCAAGCAAATGACCAAATCTAATATCACACGGAGACAAGTGCTATAAAAATATCAAGTCAGATAAGGAGGTAAGGACTGGGGGCCAGAGGATTATCACGGCAGAGTTAATGCTTTGGGAAGTGTTCGGAAAGAGCTGGAGTTTTTCATAGAGATTTGAATGAAGTCAGGGAAGGAGAAGTATATATTTCTGGGACATTTAGTATTTTAGGCAGAGAAATCTGACAAGAAAAGGTTGGGTTTTCTCCCTATTTTCTGGGGCAGAGAGTAAAACTACCTATTTTTCTTCTCCTCATTTAAAACTATTTTTATTGATTTTTAATGAGAGGAAGAGAAAGTGAGAGTACATTATACATGGACTGCCTCCGGGGAATCCCACAACTGGGGCATGTGCCCTGACTGGGAATAGAACCAGCATCCCTTTGGTACATAGGATGATGCCCAACCAACTGAGCCACATTGGCCAGGGCTTTTTCTTCTCATATAAATTCTGGATGGAAAGCCTGGTGTATCTTTCATATCTTTCAGGAAAGGTTAAAGAGCTATCCACTTGTGGCCATGAACTGCAAAGAGAGCCAGTGTAAATTGGAGAAGCATATATATCCTGCTGCAACTCATTTCAAGTATGAGTCAAGCAATCCAGTATATATAGTGACTGTTGCCAAGAAATACACAATCTTTATGAAGTTCATGCCACTCCATGTAACATATATAATACAGATTCAGAATATTTTCAGCATCAGCATCCTAAGAATTATCAAGACATAGGAAAGGATGGGATTTAAGGAGTCAAAAGAACTAAAATCATCAAGTTGCAGAATATATAATATCTTCTGACTAAGAAGATGATGCTGTTGACACTGTCAGCAGGGAATGACTGCATTCAAATTTTCTTTTCAAAAGTGATGATAGTTTTGCATTGATCCACCTCCATTCTCTTTCTTGGTTCCTTCTAGTTAGTTGATCAAGGGTCAACTAATGAGTTTTGCTGCAGCCAAGAGCTGGCTGAGAGAGCAGGTGAGAGCTTTAGCCAGAGAACAACTCTCTTCTTTGTTTGACATTAATTGGCTTCTACAGGGAAGGGGGCCAGTGTCTTGGCTTAATTGGAGCAGTTCTCCGGCCCTCTGAGCTAACTGGCAGGGGATGATAAACATTTTTTAGCCCTAGAGTATCTCTGGGATGTGTAGTCTACACGTCTGTGCTCATACGTAATGATAAGTCCCAAGAAAAGAGCTTGCCAGTTCCAATCACAAAATATCCTCCTAATAGTTTTAGCATAAGTCTTGAAAAATCCTGAAAATGTCATCTGGTCTACCTTTCCCTGTAGAAATGAATCATGCCAAGAAAGCTGCTGAATGTCTGGGACTCGAGGCTTTCACTTATCCTTCTTAAATCCAAATCTCCCATGAAACAAGCAGAAACAAATGCAAACACAATCTATCGACCTGTGTAGAAACTATCTTTTAAAAGCCCACTTGGGGAGCTTTCACGAGGTGAGGGTGTACTGACATGCACCTCTCACATGAGACATATTCTAAAGTGTTCCAAGTAAGGCAAAACTCAAGCAGATTATCAAGAATTCCCAGGATTGAAGCAAAGGGGCAGGACTGACCCTTCTGCAGCTGAAGAGGCAGGCTCAGCACAGCATCTCCCCCCCCCCTTTTTTTTAAAAAAAATATTTTTATTGATTTCAGAGAGGAAGGAAGAGGGATATATATATACTAGAGGCCCGGTGCACAAAAATTTGTGCACTCGGGGGGAAAGGGGGGTCCCTCAGCCTGGCCTCTGCCCTCTCGCAGTCTGGGACCCCTCGGGAGATAACGCACTGCTGGCTTAGGCCTGCTCCCGGATGGCAGAGGGCAGGCCCAATCCCTAGGTGCAGCCCCTGGTTGGGCTCAGAGCAGGGCCGATTGGGGAGTTGGGGCACCGTCCCCTGTCATGCACAGAGCAGGGAAGATTGGGAGGTTGCGATTCCACCCTCAGTCAAGCTCAGGGTAGGGCCGATCGGCGGGTTGGGGCACCGCCCCCTGTCACACTCAAGGCAGGGTCAATGGGGAGGTTGTGGCGCCACCCCCTGTCACGCACAGAGCTGGGCCCATCAGGGGGGTTGGGGAGCTCCCCCCTGTCACGCACAGAGCAGGGCCCATCAGGGAGTTGGGGAGCTCCCCCCTGTCACGCACAGAGCAGGGCTGATAGGGGAGTTGGGGCACCGCCCCCTTTCACACACAGAGCAGGGCGGATCAGGGAGTTGGGGCGCCTCCCTCTATCACCCACAGAGCAGGGCCGATCAGGGGGTTGGGGCGCTGCACTCTGTCACACACAGAGCTGCAGGGTGATCAGGGGGTTGGGGAGCTCCCCCGTATCAGGCACAGAGCAGGGCTGATCAGGAGGTTGGGGCGCCTTCCCCTGTCACAAACAGAGCAGGGTGGATAGGGAGGTTGTGGCCCCGCCCCCTGTCACACACAGAGCCGCAGGGCGATGAGGGGGTTTGGGCGCTGCCCCCTGTCACGCTGATCCTGGTACTAGGAGGCATATTATCCTTTTACTATATAGGATAGAGGCCTGGTGCATGGGTGGGGCTGGCTGGTTTGCCCTGAAGGGTGTCCTGGATCAGGGTGGGGGTCCCCACTGGGGTGCCTGGCCAGTCTGGGTGAGGGGCTGAGGGCTGAAGCTCCCAACTGCTCCTTTTTTTCTTTTTTTTTTTTTTTTTTATTCTGGGCCAGCTTTAGCTCTGGCTCCAGCTCTGAGGCCTCTGCTGCTGAAAGCAGGTATCTGGTTTGTTTGTGTTCTATAATCGAAACAATGTATAACTCCAGCTCTGAGATCCCAGCTCACTGAAAGCAGGTTTCTGGGGTTTTGTTTAGCTTCTATATTTGTTACAATGTTTCAAGCTGCAGGCTCAGAGGCCGGCAAGGCAGGCGGGGAACGTTGGAGTCCTCCGTCACTGAAGCAAGCAAGCCTCATGTTAGTTTCAAGCTGCCTGGCTGCCGGCCGCCATCTTGGCTGGCAGTTAATTTGCATATCTCCCTGATTAGCCAATGGGAAGGGTAGCGGTTGTATGCTAATTACCATGTTTCTCTTTTATTAGATAGCAAATATATATATATATATATATATATATATATATATATAGAGAGAGAGAGAGAGAGAGAGAGAGAGAGAGAGAGAGAGAGAGAATCATTGATTGGCTGCCTTCTGCATGCCCCCACTGGGGACTGAGCCTGCAACCCAGGCATGTGCCCTGACCGGGAATTA